AAAAAGGAGCAAAACACACAGGAGCATAAACGGCTCGTCATCTTTATATAAAAGAAGAAAAAAGGACACCAGTAGATAATTTTTTTAGAGATACATCAGTAGATAGGTTGATGCATGCATGCAACCATGCAGCACCACAAAGCAGAGACCACGACCATGGCCGGAACTGGTCCACGGCAGCCCATATCCGGCCGAATCCAGCCTGCCCAAAGATAGTGTAGTTCGTTGCTCTTCTAGCCTTCTTGTTCGTGGCTACCTTCATAGCATCGTCATACGATGGGTTGTCTTCGTAATTAGAAGTGCCAAAGATAAAGGTGATGATGGTCTCATTCGCACATCAAAGATGTTGTCGGCTGATATTTGCCATTCAGTGGAGGAAACTGCATTGCAAAATGAATGAATCTATGCTCTAAAATGCATCTATATACATCTGTATGTGGTCCATAATGGAATCTCTACAAAGACTTATATTTAAGAACGGGGGGAGTAGCAAAAAAGATGCACGGGAGCGTAAACAGCTCGTCATCTTTATCTTTATGTAAAAGGGAAAAAGGAGCAAAACACACAGGAGCATAAACGGCTCGTCATCTTTATATAAAAGAAGAAAAAAGGAGCAGCAAACCAATTATGTCAGAAGTGACTTATATTTAAGAACGGGGGGAGTAGCAGAAAAGATGCACGGGAGCGTAAACAGCTCGTCATCTTTATCTTTATGTAAAAGGGAAAAAAGGAGCATAAACGGCTCGTCATCTTTATATAAAAGAAGAAAAAAGGAGCAGCAAACCAATTATGTCAGAAGTGGGGTTTGAACCCACGCCCTCGTAAGAGGCCCAGAACTTGAGTCTGCCGCCTTAGACCAATCGGTCATCCTGACGTTAGTGTTGTTACGAGCCTCGTTATCTTTATAGATGCTGGACAAACCAACACATACATCGATTCTTCTTCACGTCTTTATGCAAATGAATACTGCAGTTTCCCGATGCAGACTCACATCACATGTGCAAATGCAATCTTCCTCCCCAAAGGCATGATCAGCCTGACCGATTCAAGAGGTAGTATCACCATAAATTTACCCGCAGGAATCAACAAGTAGGGCTTCCTGAAAAATCAATGGTGAGCCTTGTTTTTTAAGAACATGACACGAGGTGCTGCCTTCCATTATGAAGAAAGCGGCAATCCGTTAACTGAACTGCCTGCTTCCGTTACGAAACTACAGGACTGCACAGAGCATCGATCACAGATTCACAGCTGCATGCAAGGAACCAACAAGACCATTGGTTTTCGCAACAAAAAAAAAACTATTGGCAAGAGAAAATTATTTTACATGCGTAGAACAAACGAGACCCAGTTCAGTCTTCACGGAACGCAGTTACGCAGATAAGCATACTTTGTTTTTACAATGCGCCTCAACTCACTGAATCTTCAGCGGCAGAAAGTACCAACCAACGAAAGCATGCCTTGCCGATCACAAACAAGTGGCGGCCGATGTTCAGACTTAAGCTTGAAGTCAGTCAGCGCCTCGCGCACGATCAGTGACGCCGGAGGGTACAGCCGGAGAGTCTCCTGGATCACCATGGTGATCTGGAAAGAGAATGCAATGGCTAATAATGCCAATGGCGTGCCTGTTTCTTCAAGACTGATCGATGCATAACGGGAGGGATGCTTTCTCACTGTTTTCAGTCGCCGGGGGACGTCGACGTCGAGCTTTGTGCATCCACGGCACACCTCCAGAGCCTCGGCGCGGGCACGGTCCTGCCACGCCGGGTGCGTGGCCAGTAACATCAGGCACCAGGTGGTGGTGACAGCTGCAGTCTCGTGCCCGGCAAAGTAGATGTTCTTCCAGTTGTCGACGATATAGTCCTCGGCGCTGCCACCGTAGCTGGCCGGGCAATGCCGAGAGCTGTTCACAATCGAGCGCAGAAAGCTGTTATGTTTAGTCTTTATGCAATCGTTGTCGTCGTTATTGTTGTTGTTGCTGCTGCTTCCGCGGCTGTGTTCCTTTGCGACATTGAGCATGAGTAACCGAACTTCTTGCTCCAGCTTTTGTATCTCTCGGTTCACCTTGGTTGGCAAACACTTCCTATAATAAACGCACAAAATTATGACAATAAGCCCCCGTTCGGATCCACTCCGCTCCACAGCTGCAACTCCTCGAGCGGAGGGAGCGGCAGTGCAATCGCACGGAGGGGCTCGGACCCAGCTCCTAGCATGGAGCGAAGTTTTAAAACTGGAGAGATACCGAACAGGCCTTAAGTTTCACCTTTTACCCCTAGTAGTGACAGCTTTTACCCTATTTAATTGCCCCCCCTCACGTCACATTTTACCTCTAATTTATGACATTCTGACATCCTTTATCCCATTTTATTTATTATTTTCCTCAAACTGCAAAGCCAAATCCATTTGTTAGGCTGGTTGTAATGGGGAGTATCATATACTAGTATCATGCATATGATACTAGTCTATGATACTACATCCCTAATGCATAGTATCATATGTTAGTATCATAGAGGACTACATTCATTGTCATGCATGACACAAAGTAGCACATCATTTAATATGATACGGTATCATGATATAATACTCAAGCCTCTCTTTTTTCATTTAATTCTATGTCATTTCATCAAAATTGCTAGTTGGCATGTATGATACTACCTATAATACTCCCATTACGGGCAGCCTTAGGAAGACATGCAGCTGATTGACAGATAACTCGGAAGAGTACTCGTTGGAGATATATACCAAATTATGAAAAAAAAAATCCCTCCAATTCAGTCAAATTCTATGAAATTGTGTCAATTTTGCTCAACAGTTGCTGCTAGCTGCACAGCTGCACCGCACTACTCCTAGCAAATCGAACCTGAGTTGTCTACCAAGTCAACTGCCTTGTCAATTAAATAGGGTAAATGCCCTCAGAAAGGCCACAACTAAGGAGTAAAGTGTGGCCAGATTATTTAAATAAAGTAATATTGTCACAAGTCACAATACACAAGATCACGACCAGCGGATAAATCTTAATTTTATGACATGACTGGACTAAACTTTGCCATATGGCAGAACATTATCCAAATTTAAACAACCAGATTATTTTGGAATAAAAAACATTCAAATATTTACATCACAATTTTAGCGATCCCTGTCTAATGAATGAGAATGAACCTTATTTTCCCAAATCTGTTGAAAGACTTCTGCTAGGATATTCATGCACAAATAGTCAAATATGCAGGTGATCCGTCCGCGCCACACAACCACCAGGCCACCCCGCGTCGCTCTAACCAGGGCGACTCAGGCGGCGACTGAAAACCTAGCCGCCGCCACCCCGTCTCCCACCTCTCTCCCCCTCGCCGCCGCCGAAGGACGCCGCCGGGAGAATCCCGCGCGGCCGACGGCGGCGGCGGGGCACTGCTCTCCGCGATGGGCGCTAGGTGGGCGGGCAGCCTGGCCCCTGGTGCCGGCGGCGCCCGCGGCTGCGCTTCGGCCTCCTGGCCGTCCGTTTCGGCTGGCCGGCGACGGATCTGGCTCTCCCTCGGCTCGCTGCACCCATAGCTCCCCTCTCCTCCCCCATCCTCTCCGGCAGACGATGCACCCCGCTCCACCTCGCCTCGCTCCCCACGGATCCTCCTCGACCCCGTCCTCCTGCGCGACCGAAGCCGGGCGGCCGTAGATCCGGCGCCGGCGTCCCCTCCCCTCCCATCGACGACCCGTCCTGCGTCTCCATCCCGCTCGCCCTCCCCGTCCCCGCCCCCCTGGGCGCCCGTCACGGACGGGCTGTGGCTGGTCCGGTGGATCCAGCGACGGACTCCTCCTGGCCTCCTCGCCTCCGCCACCGCCGGTCCCTGCCGGGAAGATCCTCCTCTCTGGTGCCCCCACCCTCTGTCCACCTCCGACGCCGTCGGTTCCTGCCGGGAAGGACCTCCACTCAGCAGTGCCCCCACCCCCATGCCGTGGTACAACGGCCCCCGCTACTCCACTACCCCACCTCGTCTCCACCCTCCTCACCGGCGGCCTGCTCCACTTGTCCTTCCTCGGTTCACCATCCACCTCACATGTCCGTCTCGGTCCTGTCCTCTGTCGCCCTTCGACTCCACTCGGATGGCGGCCCACCATTGACGGATGTGCTATGGGAGAAATCCCCGCTGACCTTGTCAGCTGACCACGGCGACGCTACTCCAGCGTCGCTTACCCTCTTGGGGGCATGGCTCATGTGCCACTCCTGTCTCTAGGTCCGGATTCGCAGCTCTCGGCTCTGCCCTCTGGGAATTTAACCGGTTATGCTCCAGGCGAAAGCTCTGTGACGACGTCATCCTCGGATGTCGTCCACCTTCTTGAAGGCGTCACTAGGGAGCTCCTTGCCGCCATTCATCCTCCGTAGCCCTTGGGGGTTGGTCATCCTCTGCTCTGCTAGCTCAAGACCCTCTCATGCCTGTCGTCCGTTTTGGTGAGCTTCGTACTCTTCGTGCTATCTTGGTTCATCTTTGCTCAACAACGACGCAACGATGCCTCCCCACCTTGCTAATTGTGTCGGCTTGCTGTGGCGAAGTTTCCAGTTAAGGTTCGTGATGGGTCACTTGTTGATTGGTGCTGCTCCTCTATTGTGCCAAGGGGTTGGTACGCACGCCGGTGTGGTGCGTTAGGACAGTTGTTTAGTGTTGGTATTGTGATTCCTAGATGACACACCACTTCCACTCGACTTTTATGGTGGTGGTCTCTTGGCTTGCTGGCTAGGTAGTGCCTTCTTTGGGGTGTCCATATGTTCTCACCCTATGTAATCTTTCCCTCCTGTGCGGTTTTGCGGCCCGGTTTCCTTTATAAACGGGGTCAACCTGTTAAGGTTTTCGATCCGGTTTTCCTTATAAACTGGATCACACACTTGGCATTTTGGCCACTTTGAGCAATATATTCAGGTGGGGACTCTCTCCCCCCCGGTGACCGTTAAAAAAAAATGCAGGTGACATTTCACTTTATTTTCTTGCCCTTTATTCATCATGTTAGGTATTGTCTACTTACCACACTGCAGATAATCCAATAAGTGGATCTTGCTGAGAAATTGCCTTCTGAAGCTGCCTCAGCTTGTGGAATATTTCTTCCCCTGTTGTGAAATCGCTGCCAAAACATGCCCTGGCGATTACATCCGCCGAAAAATTCCGCAAATAACCATCCACATCTATCTCTTTACTCCCTCCTGCATCGTCAAGCATGCTCTCCCATGCTTCTAGCAGTGGGACAGAAGCCCCCACAATTAGTTCTATCATGACCTGTAAACATCATTCTTGCAATTATAATGATTTTTGCTGAAATTCAACTATTATACTTGATCATGTCCTTAGTATTTCAACTCATATTTAAGCATTGTCTTAAGCAGCTCACAGCACCTTAATCTTCTCCATGAAGAACTCTGGTGCAATGATCTTCCTCTGATAGGCCCATATATCGCCATTTGATACCAAGATGCCTTCGCCAAAGAGCGGTTTGCGAGATTTTTGTATATAAAGAGGTTTCCTGAGCTCAGATGACGTACAGTGGCTCTGTCCTTGATCATGCTGGGGTCAGAAATATACAGAATCTCCACAGCTCCTGTTGAGTAGAGGAATACCGAGCCTATTCCAAGTTCACAATCCAATAGCATCGCCGTCAGAAGAATGAACCAGCATAAGGAATACAGGCCGTGTAAGTATAATAAATACCATCGACTTAAACCAAATAGTTGTACAGAAAATATATGTCAGATAATTATATCTGGCAATTGTTTTTCTACAATACTTCCGACTAGACCAAATTTGCTAAGTGCATAAATTGTCTAGAAATTCATGGCCTTATGACAGAAATGAAACAGCATATAAAGAATGTTTGTCCAGCACTTCTAATCAACAAGCCGACTACTGACCACTTCACGCATTTTGTTAAGGCGTAGTTGAACAGCATCTTCATAGGACAGGACAAAAATATCTATAATAAGTCACTTAGCTCCCATAGGACCCCAGATTCCAATAGAAGTATTAATATCACTAATTAAAATACTATTACTGTATGAACATGTTTAGGGAAAGAGATTATTTGATCAGAGTTCCAGTGTTCAAGAGTAAATTCCAACATCAAGAGAAAGCTTATAGCTTTCAACTATCTGAGTTGTTCCTGACTTTTGAGAGACCATGTATATGCCCAGCTAAGGTCAATAAGGATGTTCTTTGCCACTAACTACGAGTGACACAACACAGTGCAGAACATGTAACTGAGTATAATGTAGCTTTATCTTTTGGACGATATGGTTGCTAGGGTGGATGCTTTACATTAATGAAATTTACAAAGTAAAGTATAAATAGCAACAGAGATGAGAGGTCATATACTCCTTCCGTTCCTAAAATCTCTAAAAAGACAAATACGTATTTAGGAACGGAGGGAGTACAAAATAGTGTTGTAGGCTGGTGGCACTGTCATGCTGAATATTAGAAAGATTGATTGGTCACCCCAACAAACTGTAAAATGTAAATTTTGTGATCATATAGTCTCATGTCACAAGAATAAAAACATCCATGAGCCATCTAATCAATAACACACTAGAGATGAATTCTAAGCAAAGAACACGTGTTACTGTTAAGAAAAGACCAAACAAAAGGGTGTGGTTTTACTGCAGAGAAAATTCATGCATGGATGAAACTTTCGACTACATACCATATGTTTCCCTCCAGATAAGGAAGTGAGGGAAGAGGGTGGATATGTAGTTACTGGTGTCTTGCTTCCGTGCAGAAACGGCCTCTTGCCGGATTCTCTTCATCTCCTGGGTGTTGCCATAGAACATAGTAGGCCTGGGACCCCTTACACCCTGCTTCCTCAGCTTCTTTCTTATCCTCTCTGTCCTCAGCCATAGTATGCTACCAACATTTGGCATTGCCAATATTTGGTAAGCCAACATTTGGCAAAAACAAAAGTTGCCAACTTTTGGCAACTTTTTGTGAGATTGGCAACAAGAATTGGCAAGCAACCAATCTCTAGCCAAAATTTGGCATGCCAACTTTTGGCATCAAACCAATTATGCTCGTACAACAGAGGTAACCCAAGAAGTAAGGGAAGAAGCACAGCTAGCAGATGAAGTTTCTCCATGAGACAGACAGAGTAGGGGAGAGAGGGGAGACTTGTCAAATATATTCGATAAGTGGCTACCTTGTTCATGTCCAACTACTACATAGTGCATTATGCAATCCACTAGATTCTCATCGGCTTTAGAACTCGAGGAGTCGAGGATATGAATGCTATTTTGTCTTGTTCAGTTTTTGATTCTTTATTATCTTGCTTTCAGGTCTTGGCATCTACTGACAGTATTCAGCCCAGTTGACTTTTTGGTAATATATATGTGTCGTGTATGTTGATTGATAGGTTCTCCATTAGCGACGCAAAGCACAATTTTAAACAAACGAGAAAAAAAATTATACCTGGTCACCAAATGATAAGAAAAAAAAACATTATTACCTACAACAATGGACTCCTGCAGGCTCAGTTATCAGATGGAAAAAGCCTCAAGGCAAGAACAAAAGAAAGCACGGTTAGAAATTTGAGAGTAAGAGTTCATTGATTGATCCAGCTCAGCCTCTGCTGAACTGTGTAAAGTTTTTTTTTTGAAATATCCAGCGGTTGCTGGTTTTCATTGATTTAGAAGAAGGTGAACTGTGTAAAGTGGTGGGGAAAATAGGTGACAGAATCCGGTAACAACTCAGAAAAGTTCAGAAACCTTGTATCAGCCTTTTTACAGAGGCAACAGAGCTCCTGGCTGTGGGAATGGGTCCTCGATCAATCGATTTCAACACTCGCGGCCCTGGATCTCGGCCTTCCTTCGCCGTCTTCTTCTCTCTCCTGGTAATCCCCTCCCTGCGAATAGCGGAAGCATCCTCATTACCCACGGAAAAAGGTCCTGTGCAAGCTAGGAAGCGAACACCTGGTGACCGGAGGTGCCGGCGGAGTTCGTCGTTGCTAGACCGCCGACTGATCCGTCGCGTTAATTTGCCAGCACAGCGCGCCGGCGAGAAGAAGGAATGGGGATTGCTCCAACCTCTTGCAGATACTACAAACATCGAATGCTGCGAGAATCACTGAGAATGAGAGATCAATCGGCTACGAGGTTTACTGTGATGTCCCTAGCAGCAGCTAGAGAATCACAGGAGAACTCGCGAGCGAGTACGGGGTTGACCGAAGAAGGACGAAGGAGCTGAGCTCAGTTCATCTCTTTTCCATTTGATGGATTAGTACAGACCAGAGGGTTGGGTAGATAAGCACCACACACACGGACACACCTACTACTCAGTCTACATGGCAACAGGGTGGACCTGACCTGTCATACACCACCCTGTATTAGGTGGGGGTGTGACATTTACCCAGATGAGATGGCGGGAGCAACTAAGGATGCGTTTGGTTAGGGGAAAAAAAGATAAGGTTGACTTTTGCGGGAGGTGAGCCAGAGAGTGGGAGGTTGACATGTGGCATTCACAAATCATAAAGCATTTACCCTATCCTCACTTAAAATCATGGAAGAAGAGATTAGATGCTTTGAGATTTATGAATGTCACGTGTCATTCATTAGAACGGGTCTCACCTGCTAACCATGGTCTCAAATAATTTTTTTTCCGCAAGAGCGAGGCCAAAAACATTTCACGGACTGGCTTTCCATCTCGCGCGCACGCGGGATGAGCAGATCCTTGACATTTTTGCAGACACGTGGAGCCAGGTTTTAGAGAAATATTTCAAGCATCTGGCTAGTCGTATTCCCGCTTGTCCATAAACCAAACGGGTGACATCCATCTAAACATTGGCTATCCCTGTCTCAGGAAAGGATAGCCCAGCAACCAAACGCATCGTAAGAACGGCGATGTCGATGAGGGATGGGAATCGCAGATGAAGCGGAGAAACGCGACGACGGACGGAGTTTTTTCTTTTTTTTGGGGCGGACGGAGTGAGCGGTAGCAGTAGAATGGGCCAATGGGGTTTGGGGCTTGGAGTAGCGAGAGTGGGTCTGCTCGAGCAGCCCATTGCCATTGAGATGGCTCGGCTCGGCCCGGCCGGGCCCAGCTTCGTGCCTCTCTCTCGCGCGCGGCCGCGCCTGCTGCGCTGATGCCACTCCTGCGGCTGTGCCTCCTCCCACCGCCGCCCACCGGCCGTCGAGCGAGTGGGCCCCGCGCGGCTCGCCTGCCGTTTCCGTCGCCTCCAGGCACGACCGTGCCACCATGGTCGTGGTAATCTTCTCTTCTCACTTCTCCCCCCCTTGGGCACTCGCGGCCCAGGTTAATTTGTATGGTTACGTTTCCCGACTGCGAAAACGGCTAGGTCTTGTCGCTGGAATTCGCCATGGCACTCTTAATTCAAAATCGATCTCATCTAGTAAATGGATTAGCACCGTCACAATGTAGCCATAACTTTTTTCTCAAATGCGCGTCTAGATGGGCATCATTTTGTGTCACAATGTAGCTATCCTTCTTTTTTTTTGAGAAGTGTCACAACTCACAATGTAGCTATCAGAGGGCGAATAATGAGCCCGCAATAAAAACGTGAAATTCAATGTGTTGATGGCCCTATGCTATGTATGACATGTCAAATTATGTTGTGTAAGCTGCGTATTGTCCATATGAACTCCCAGCTAAAACAACATTATTACTGAACGAACGAATTAGGCTAACCATAATGTTGTCTTTGCACACCGAGTGTAGTTCATTTTTGTTGAGACTTTCATTTAGAGTTAGGCGCGACTTTGGCAATAAAAGAACGTTTAATTGGTAAAATAGGTATTATTCGCCATAGAAGAGTGTTTAATTGGTAAAAATAGGTAAATTTCGCCTTAGAAAGAGTGTTTGATGTTTCATTGGCTGAATTGAGTTAGGTCCAGTCAATAATTTTGTATCTACTACTCCCTCTAAAAAGTCTTATATTAGTTTACAGAGGTAGTACTTGTCTACTTCTAACCCTTAACAGCAAAACAAAGAAGACCACCCGGGTACAGATACATGTGTTCATATGAGTATGTGACCATCTTCAGTGATTTTCAGGTGAGTGTATCTGCAAATTGACAACCAAGTGATAAAGAAGTACTGTAGGATCTTTCTTTTCTTAATCTTTTTGTTAGTTGATGAATTCTCCATGGTATATTTTTTTCTTTCTCTACTAGACGTAGTGTCCCAGTAATGATGTGTACACGCTTGGGGTGATAACGTTACAGTGTAGGATGACCAGTGGTTATTGATTTTGTTGTACCGTTTGCAGGCCCTTTTCTGAAGCATGTGACTGGTGGCGGTGCAGTGGGTTCGGCATAGTATTATTGCAGATGATTGCCAATACGCAGAATGATGAGATCATAGCTCCTGTCCTTGATGAACTGCTACTACTTGAGAATACTACTGCCAATAAAGGGGGGTTGTGCAATTCAGCAGTGATTTGAACCCCTCTAATAGGTCCCAGTGTCCATGGGTATGCAAGCGTTTCTGGCTGCCTGATGGAGGAAGTCGCTGGGAGATAGATAAACTCATGTGCCATATTGTTATGCATGAACAAGAGTTCTGAGATATCTAGCATGTTTCAAATCTAGACAGATAGACATTGATCTGTAAATTCTATCAGAACAAGGCAACATTTGATGGCACAAGCTTGATG